ACACCTTGGAGTCAAATTTCCACTTATCAGAATACTATAAGATATCCTACGTGTTCCAACATATGCAAACTAAAATATATCATAATTTCCTACATAAATAAAGAAACGCAAAATTTTACAACAAAACAACATTATGCTTATACATTTTTGTTTCTATTATACAAGTTTTGTTTATTAGAAACGGAATTATTCAATAGACTTAAATATTTAAAAAAAAAATAATTTTTCAAAATTTCTACATTTTTTTTTTGATAAATTTGAATATTTTGTGTTTGTATTACTATACTATATCAAAATCCCGACTGTGTCTTTAATTATTATAAATTTCTACAATAACATTTTTATGGTAGTCGGGATTTCGAGATAGTAGGGATTTTGATTGTCGGGATTATGGTAGTCGGGATTTTGACATAGTCAGGATTCCAAGCGTCGGGTAACTATCCACCGGGAAAGATTACCTAATTACCTAATGTCAACCGCGATCTTAAATTTACTCAATGTTCACATTGATAAACAGATTGTGAATGAAATTATAGGAAATAAAAAAAAATCATATTTCACAAAAATTACATACAATTTAATCACAACTATTCAAATAGTTGTAAAAACACATTTATATAATCAAATATTTACGCAAATAGCGTCGAAACTAACAAAAATATATGAAATTAAAATGTTTGTATTCCGTATTTTTTTTCATTGTTATGTACATATCAAAAGTTTACAAATAAAAATGGGTTTTTATTTTGTTTCAAATTATGCGATTCAATAAAATTAATGTACGGATGATGTCTGTCCGACAAATTCGTAGTTTGTGTTTCCTCAGATACATAAAATATGATTGCTTTTAAGCAAGCAAATATTATGACATCCGGAATATTAGTGAGAGTTTTAATAATGCCAATGATAAATGAATTTCGTGATGTTTATTAGTAAATCGATAACAAATTCAATATTTGTTTAGTCAGTAGAAAATGTATGCATATTCTTGATAATCAGATTTATTTTAAAACTTACAGTTTCCAATGTTATTGTAAAACATCAATGATAAATACATTTTATGATGTTATTTATGAATAATTAAAAAAGTAATCTTTTTATATCCCAAACCCGATAACCGAAAGACAAACTATTGAAATCTCGACGTTCGAAATCCCGACTATATCAAAATATCTACAATCATAATCTCGACTGTATCAGAATCTTGACAACCATAATCCCGACTATATCGAAAATTTTTACAATAACATTTTTAAATTATTTCGGAGCGTAGTCAACTTGTGCTACACTTTTATTATTAATAACAATAAATTATTATGAATTTATTTGATTTTGTTGAATTATCCATAATAAACCGTAACATTATGAAATAATCTCAAATACAATTAGATTATTAATTGTTATTATTTATTATTAATAACAATTTAAAAGTCACTACGCTCCGGAATAACTTAAAAATGTTATTGTAGACGTTTTCGAAAGTGTTATTATCATCGAAATGTTTCCTGAAAACAAAACAGCGTTTATATTTCGAATACAAGGAAGTTGTTATATTTGGATTGGAGGATGGATTGATGATACGGCCCAGTTTCACTCGATGTCATAGATGAATCGGTATGAAAAGATTCCGAACTGCTACTACTACTACTACCACTACTCATCGAACTAGAAATAGTTGATAGATGCTACTTAATTCCACGTGCTGTAACTAGGCTGACGGATTTCCACCTCATTAAAAAGTGTAACTCATATAAATGGATATTTCAATATTTATGAAGACCGATTACGCAACACTTTCGAACCATTCATATATCTCCAAATATACTTATTTAACACAAAAAAAAACAGAAGTTATTTCTTACAATTTAATTTAAGAAATTATATTTCTTTTAAAATTTTCATCTTATTATATGTTATACACCTATCGCTCATTTTACACGATACTTTATTTACACGTTTTCGCTTTTACACGATAAAAAAAATGTTGAAAATGAACTGGGTATGATTAAGTAGCATTCTGTTTGCCTTTAATATTTTGTTTGATTGAAATTGAACAAAAATCATAATTAACATATAACTAAAGTATATACAATTTTTTGCATACTTTTAGAATTACACGGTTTTACATTGAAAAAGTCACAATTTCGATTTACACGTTTCTATCAGGAATCTATCGCTCGTTTTACACGATACTTTATTTACACGTTTTCGCTTTTACACTATAAAAAAAATGTTGAAAATAAACTGGCTTTGATCAAGTAGAACATTTTGTTTGCATTTAATTGTTTTGTTCGATTTTTGTACCTTAAAAAAATGAACAAAAATCATAATTAACAAATAACTAAATTACGCGTTTTTTTTTCATACTTTTAGATTTTCACGGTTTTACATTGAAAAAGTTACAATTTCGATGTACACGTTTCTATCAGGAACCTATCGTTCGTTTTACACGATACTTTATTTACACGTTTTCGCTTTTACATGATAAAAACATGTTGAAAATATACTGGATATGATTAGGTACAACATTCTCTTTACCTTTAATTGTTTTGTTTGATTTTTGTACCTTAAAAAATTGAACAATAATCATAATTAACAAATAACTAAAGTATGTGTTTTTTTTGCATACTTTTAGATTTACACGGTTTTACATTGAAAAAGTTACAATTTCGATTTACACATTTCTATCAGAAATCTATCGCTCGTTTTACACGATACTTTATTTACACGTTTTCGCTTTTACACGATAAAAAAATGTTGAAAATGAACTGGCTATGATCAAGTAGAACATTCTGTTTGCCTTTAATATTTTTGTTTGATTTTTGTACCTTAAAAAATTGAACAAAAATCATAATTAACAAATAACTAAAGTATGCGTTTTTTTGCATACTTTTAGATTCTGACGGTTTTACATTGAAAAAATTATAATTTCGATTTACACATTTCTACCAGAAACCTATCGCTCATTTTACACGATACTTTATTTACACGTTTTCGCTATTACACGATAAAAAAAATGTTGAAAATGAACTGGAATCAAGTAGAACATTCTGTTTGCATTTAATTGTTTTGTTTGATTTTTGTACCTTAAAAAATTGAACAAAAATCATAATTAACAAATAACTAAAGTATGTGTTTTTTTTTGCATACATTTGGATTTACACGGTTTTACATTGAAAAAGTTACAATTTCGATTTATACGTTTCTATCAGGAACCTATCGCTCGTTTTACACGATACTTTATTTACACGTTTTCGCTTTTACACGATAGAAAAAAATGTTGAAAATGAACTGGCTCTGATCAAGTAGAACATTCTGTTTGCATTTAATTGTTTTGTTTGATTTTTGTACCTTAAAAAATTGAACAAAAATCATAATTAACAAATAACTAAAGTATGCGTTTTTTTTGCATACTTTTAGATTTTCACGGTTTTACATTGAACAAGTTACAATTTCGATTTACACGTTTCTACCAGGAACTGTATTTATACTTTAATTACTCAAAATTTAAATAGAAATTGGAACAAGTAAGTAATTTATGTAAACATTTTATAAAGTAAACAACAATAAAAATATGTATATTTTTATGCTAAAATTATGTTCATTACTACATATAAATATACATAACTTCTATTATATGACTATTATTGTGTTGATATGTATTTATGAATGTAATATATATTTATGACTAAATATATCAACTATTACTTAATTGAATCAATAAATTTATATTAATATTTGTTATTACAATAGTAACACTTTTTCCTACTATAATTTGTAAATTAATTTTAGTTGTTGTCAATGTCTTTTTTAACTGAAAGATATAATTTTTAGATGTCTGTAACATTTAGATACATATTAGTAATATTTAGTAATATTTAGTAATATTTAGTAATATTTAGTAATATTTAGTAATATTTAGTAATATTTAGTAATATTTAGTAATATTTAATAATATCTAGTTCACACAATGTACATAACTTAGTTTAAGTGAGGACTTGATTACAATTAATGAGATTTCTATAATTTGAGATTTCTTAACTAATACGAATCAAACATTCCAATACTACCAAGAAGGAAAACTAATAAACAAAAATGCAATTAATTGTGCTATTGTTTAAACTTTGAATATAATAAGTGATTATTATGTGATTAAAGATCTGCAAATAATGGATGATTTTGAAGTGAAATGATGAATGAAAGGCATGCAACCAAAAGCACAGTAGGTCTCGTTACAACTAATTGCATTTGATGTGTGTATAGAAATTAACGTGTAGATTTGATAGTTAGTAAATAACTGGATAAATGGAAAAGTGTGCGTGGGTGCTTGCGTATACACAGGGTGGAAATACTAGTGTCCTGCGTCTGCCTGTCACAGTGACAGTTGTCCGAGTGTGTGTGTGTGCGTGGTTAGAAATGAATGCATTATAATTGCGTAATTACGGAGTGTCACGTGTGCGAGGTGCGTGTATGATAATTACACAATATTGTAAGTGTGCGTGCGTGGCGCCAAGAGGTGCGCATGCGCGTAAACGGGTCCGTCCTCCGGAGTGCGGCGCGGCGCGACGGGCCCGATCTCTCCGACTGCGAAATAGTCAGACCCATGCACACACGCCGTGTGTAAACTCCGCGGTAACACACAGAGAGAGGACGAGAGGCAGATAGATACATACATATAGATATATATAGAGAGAGAGATAGAGTTATACAACATTCTGGCAGAGTGCAGCAGTGAGCGAGAGATAGTGTGTGCTGTTCGTCGAGTGTGATACCTAGTGATCATCAGTATAACTGAGCGCCAACCTCTTCGCAACGTTACGCGCGCCCGCTTCGGGTCCGACCTCGAGGATGATGACTTTGGCCGCCGTCGCCGTGGTGATTGTGCGTGTGATTAAATAAGTCTCCACGAAAAAAAAGAAAGAAAGAAAGGAAAAGAAAACAAAAAGTTCGTAGAGTGAGTGAAAGAGAGAGAGACGCACGCAGTTTATTATTGTTGTTTTCATTTGTTTTTCTTCCCGTTGTTGTTGTTGTTTGTTGTTGTTATTACTCTTGATTTCCTACCGTTCTTGTTGTTGTTACTGCATGCAGAGAGTACCGGTCTCGTTTAAATGCGCAACAACACTCTGAACTTTCTGCAGCCTTATCACTGACGCAGCAAACCGAACACATCGCCGATGACTTGTTGAACCTTCGCGCCTTCCCAAACGAAACAGAACGGAAAGACAACAAAATAAGATCAGCAGTAGCGCAAAAGTTGCCGCCATCGAGACACCTAGAGAGAAACAATAGATCGCTGAGCTAATTGAAGAGCCGCTGTTAATAATAATAATATTATTGTTGTTGTTGTTATCATCGTCGTCGTCGCAGTTGATACAGAGCAGCAGTTGAGAATTTCGCGTGCGTCGCATCCTCCCATGTTCGGTGTACGTAAGTGAATCTGTGGAAATTGCGCCGCGGAGAATATATTTAGCTGATCAAGTCTACACTACCGATTGTATAATACGTATATACGTACATACACACACCGAGACGACTCGAAGGAGGAGGTGGTGTAGCGTTTGTAGTAGTAGCCGCGCCGTGGTTCGTTCTGGTAGTAGTACTACTGGACACCTCATCTGACTTGCACTTGGGATATTGTTGATCGGAGTGAACGTGTGATTTCGTCGACGTTGTTACTATTGTTGTTGTTTTAGTTCCGCACACGGATTGTACAATTTGCGGAACACCGGTGATCATCGAAGAGGAGGCATCGTTTTGTTTTTGTTGTTGTTGTTCGTTGATGTTGTTGCCGTTGGTTCGGTTGTGCCGCGCTTGATTCAATATATTTGTTTATATGGACGCGAGGTACGGTGCGCCGACGTCTTCGACGACGACAACCTCGTCATCTCCGCCGTGGTCGGTGGTGCATAAGATGAACATTATGGAGCCGCTGTCCGAGCTGGACGGGTTCGAGCCTCAGACTCGCGCCCGCTCGAACACGTGGCCGCTTCCTAGGCCCGATAACTACGTGGAGCCGGGCGACGAGGCGGGCAACAAGTGTGCCGGATTGCCCGTCCCGACGCCCACCACCGTCGTGCCCACCAAAAAGAACTCGAGTCGTCGCAACGCCTGGGGCAACCTCAGCTACGCCGACCTGATCACACAGGCCATCACCTCTTCGCCGGACAAGAGGCTCACACTCTCGCAGATCTACGAGTGGATGGTGCAGAACGTGCCCTACTTCAAGGACAAGGGGGACAGCAACAGCTCCGCCGGCTGGAAGGTAACATCATTCATTCAGAAACCATTCGACGCGTGTTCATTCATTTCTTCCTTCATTCCTACCCATTCACCAACATCCCAACAAATCCAACAACTATTGCAATATTTCTATTAGAAAATCATACTACCATCATGAAATGTTACTTCTCAACAAGAAAATATCATCCAAACTTGCTACTAAAAGCAATATAATTAATAATATAAAATTGAAAGCATTTCCATTTAAACTGAATGATTACTATTGAAAAAAATAAATTAAAACATGATATAACGTTTTGTGGTCTTTTAAAAGTTGTTTGCATTTGCAATATATTTAAAAGATGATTACAAAATTTGATATTATAACACCAAAAAAAGCATTGAATTTCTAAAACCTCTAAAACTCAGTCATAAGATGTTCTCTATTAATTTGACTTTTTACTTAAACCAATATATTTTAAAAGATGTATAGAAAATTTAAATATTTGTATTACCAAAATCCATTATTTTACCCAAAAGAAACACTGTAATTTGTAAATGAATAATTTTATATTGAATAATAAAAGTTTTTTTTTTTAAATTAATATTAACATTTGATTAATTTTTTTTTAATAAATAACTTCAATCAAGTTTAATAATCATGTGTTAGTTAACTTGTAGAAAGATTCTTTTTCTGATCAAAGTTTTCTGCCTACTTTATAGCTTCAAGTAAATATTTTACTGCCATAAATCAGATATTGTAATTGACTGCTGAAATGCTATTTAGTATAAAGCAAACAAGCGATAAACTTTTTTTTTAATATATATATAAATGTAATATAAATAAGAGAATATATTTCATTTACAAAATGTGTATAAATACACAAAATCTTGTGATTTTTTGTTTGTTTAGTCATCGAATATCGGTGAGTCATCCGCTCAAAATGTTCTTACTGAATGAAATACCGAATGTTTTGTTTAGTCTAGTCTACAAATTACAAATAAAATAATAGTTTCAACAGTGTTACCTTGATTTGCATCTATGTTTACCGTTTTCAATTGAGACGTAGATCTTTATTGAATATAGTGATAATTCGAAAGTTGTTTTTTTTGTTGTTGTTGCACTAACAACAAGATTAATATATACAAAGTTAACTATCTAAATGACGCAAATTAAAAGCAATTCCTATAACTCTGATATAATATAAACAAACTATCACATTCTTGCGAATGAGAGTTTAACCTAATTTTATTGGATATATGTCATTCGATCAATGCTTTTTCTTATAAATTAAAATATATGGGCATCCTTCAGCTGAAGGATTTGGTGATATCATACGAAACATAAATTATTCGAAACTGTTGTGTATCTTTTCATTGCCCAATTTCTTTAACTAAAAAAAACGTATAGTCGAATGTTTGCGAATAATGGTAAACAACAAGAAAGTACTTAGCTCAAACAGTTGTTGTTTTTGTCAATCTCTTGTGTTTACAAACAAAACGAAAAAAAAATCAACGTCAAGGTCTAGAAATCACCGTAGTAAATAAATCATGGTTTTCTTACAAAGTTCAATTACCTTCTATATTTACATCATATTTTTCTAATACTACTGTATTTTAACAGTTTTTTAGTATAATAAATGTATTTTACTGCTATTTTTAACTGGTATGTTAAATGTTTTTTGTTGCATTAAATATATATTTATATTTTTAAATGGTTTATAGAAATACTCGATGAAATTTGATACAAAAAGAATAAAGCCTTTTGGTTGTTATAATGAGTACTATTCACCACATAGAAAAGTATCTAAGAATACTTTAAACCCGAACCGAGACGTGTAATCTACTTAGGATTAGCGCAAATCCTCGTTGAAGGTTAAGAGAGAGAAAAAAAAAACACAAACTGCGTTCAAGTTGTGTTTATATTTATTTAGACTATAGAGGAGGCTAGACTCTATATGTGTGTGTATGTACGTATTTTTTTTGGCGCTAGTTCAATTCCGTTTACTCATCGTATCGAATTAATAAACTTACGTGAAGAGATCAAATTTAATTTAATTAATATGTTTCATTCTATTATTACACTGTGTATACTTAAATTACACTCAATTCCAATGATGCATTCATTCTCGATATTGAATTACCAATTTTTGTCACTCGTTCACATTCACTATAATATCGATAGTTGCAACAAAAAGAAAGTGCAGTTTGGAATATAAAATGCAGTAGATGTTGATTCGTTTCAATGATATTTAAATTATAAAGATTTTATCTTAAAAAAAAACTAAGGTTGGCTTTAATTAATGGCAGGTTTTTTTTTCGTGGCGCTAATTAATGGCGATTATATGTTTTGTGTACGTTTTTTTTGTGAGTTTGTGAAGGTGAGAGATCTGAAGGAACTCTGGTCTTTAAAAATAGAAGAATTCCGAGCGCGGCGTTACGCAATTAATGGAGTAATAGCGGTTTCGTCACCATATCTCAATATATTTATTCGAGGCAGGAAATTCCTCTCAAATGTTCCAATCAAATTCTTATTTTTTTTATAAATTTAATTAATTTTTGGTTTAGATTTTGATTTTTTCTTATTTATTGGAGGTATTTTATGTTGTTTGTAAGTTGAGAATTCGTAAATTGAGAAATCGTAATGTGGTAATTAATTTAAATCAATTGAAAATTAATAAATGAAGATTTCTTCCGTTTAAGTTCCAAGAAAATTAGTAGCAGACATTCGTGTCTTGTATTAATTTGTGTAGCAAAAATTGTTAAGTACTGAAGTACAAAATTTGGTGATGACTTCAGTAATCTGTTCATTTTAAATATCAATTTGAATAGCAAAAATTGTTAAGTACTGGAGGACAAAATTTGGTGATGACTTCAGTAATCTATACATTTGATGTATCAATTTGTGTAGCTAAAATTGTTAAGTACTGAAGGACAAAATTTGGTGATGACTTCAGTATCAATTTGTGTAGCTAAAATTGTAAAGTACTGAAGGACAAAATTTGGTGATCTATACATCAATTTGTGTAGCTAAAATTGTTAAGTACTGGAGGACAAAATTTGGTGATGACTTTAGTAATCTATACATTTGATGTATCAATTTGTGTAGCTAAAATTGTTAAGTACTGAAGGACAAAATTTGGTGATGACTTCAGTATTCTATACATTTGAAGTATCAATTTGTTTTTGTCCTTCAGTACTTTACAATTTTAGCTACACAAATTGATACTTCAAATGTATAGATTACTAAAGTCATCACAAAATTTTGTCCTTCAGTACTTAAAATTTTAGCTAC